CAATATTTTCAGTGTCGAGAGCATTCGTTGGCTCATCCAAGGCAAGGATACCACAATTTTGGCCAAACGAGTCGGAGAGGGCTAGTCGAATGATGATAGAGGCCAGCATCTTCTGTCCAGCTGAGCATCGTCCTCGCATGTCCATCTCGACCTGATCTTTAGTCATTACAACCTTTTTGAAAGTCAGCGCCATAGCGGTATCGGAGAAATGTGAAAGCAGCGCACTCGATAGTTGTAAGAACGTTTGGAAACTCCACCCTCAACGTCGGACCGAATCTTAATCCCGTCGATATCTACAAGTCAAACGTCAACTCAAAAGTCGGAGGCTCTTCGGATACAAGGGCTCACCAGTGCCCTGATAAGTTTTGTTCCAGAGATGCCTCATCGTGTCATTGACTTCTTCCATCTTCAAAGTGTGATACTTCATGATAGCACTGGAAGGCAAGCGTCACATATTGGGTAAGGTGAAAGAGATTCAACTTACTTCTCCAGGGCCTTTGCGTACTTCTCCAGGTCATTGTTTGCCATGTCGGACATCTGTGTATTCAAATTTAGGTGCAAACAACGTTATCGCTCGAAAAACAGATACCTTGACTTTGATAAGCTGATCAGTGTACTTTTTGTTGGCGTCCTTATATTCTTTGGCATCCGTCTCCCAGAGTTCGAGTTGGGACTTATGAGAACTGATTTCGCCTCCGATATGAGAGAACTAGATATAGATAAGCGAATGAGAAGCTAAAGAGGAATTCAGGTAGACCTTGTTCTGCAGCTTATCCTCTCTATCCTTCGCAACTTTCCACTTCTCGTTGAAAGTACGCTTAGCTCTGGCGGCCTCTTCCATATCATAGGAATCGATCTCGGCCTGTGCCACCTCGATTTGTCTGATGACTTTTCGTAGGCGAATGTTCTCTCGGAGATTGGAAAGGCTGGAACCGCTTTCGTTGATCACTTTGTCGATTTGAGCTATCCTGTTTCGAGCTTCTTCTACCTGCTTCTCGAATTTCTTGATCTCGGAAGTAGACTCGTCGAGCAAAGCCTGTTGGGCGCGAAGTTTCTGTTCTCGCTTCCCTTGAACATATCTGAAGAGATGGGCAAATATAGATACAGACATAGGGAGACAAGATTATCTTACCTCTCGACGTGTTTTTGGGTATCGGCGAGCTTGTCTGCACTCCGATTCAATTGTTGAGCAAGATCTGAGGCACTCGACAATTTCCCGTCCAGGTCTCGTTGCCGGGTTTTGTGCTCGGCGTCAAGAGCATCGATAGGTCCTTGAGCTTCAGCAATGCGTTGATCTGCGGCCTATAATAGCTTGCATTGGCTTATGATATAAGCCAGGGAGGGGATAGATTCACCTTCATTTGTTCCGACATTTCGGCAATATCGATCTTCCACTGTTCGATCTGCTTTTCGAGATTCTCCTTTTCCTTGATTTTGCCGTTAATCTTGGTAGACTCGAGCTCCAATCTGTGTAGGTCGCCTTCAGTAGTCCGTTGAGCGGCATTTCTGGCGATCACGCTCCCTCATCCAGCCATTGCTCTCTTTATCGAGCGCACGACTAGTAAGAAAAGATGAGCTGCTGAGAAATAGTTCAACACAGCAACAGAAACGCACATTTGGCTGGACAGAACATCGATCTCTCCTTGAATATCCTCCGTACTTTTCGTCGAACCGGTTGATGCAAGTTCGGTCTCTAGACTCTCAACTTCCTGCTTCAAACGGTTCACTTCCTTTTGCAGTCTTGCTATCGTCTTGCCAGACTCCCGGAGCGACTGGACATCTTGTAATTCTCCCTTGATCGTTTCCAGCTTGGAAGAAGCCTGGAAGATAATGTGAGAAGAGATTCTACAAAGATCAAAGAGATTCAACTTGCTCGGTCAGCAGCATCCCTGGCCTCTTCGACCGCGGTCTCACATTGAGCGACTTGTTCTTCCGTTTCTGGGATATCCTTAAACTTCAGCGTGTCCAAAGTCACCTGGGTAGGGCGTAATCCCTGCAACCGTGCAACCTCTTCCTCCCAGTCCTCTACGTGGTCTTTTGCTTCTTTCGCTTTCGAGTTGGACGATTTCTTGATTTCTTCTTTCAACTAGGAAATCGTTAACTTCAAGACAGAGGGTAGCGAAAATATAAACGACTAACGTATTTCTCGAAAACGCGAAGTTCGTCGTCGTCCATATGACGGTTACAGGCAGTGCATTTCTTCTTCTGTTTTCCGTCCTTGAGAAGCCGCTCGTAAATCTTGGCCGCTCCTGTACCGCTTTCGAATTCACTACAACAGATGTGAGCTATGAAGAAGAATATTGTGTAAGATCACTAACTCTCGAGCGAGTTTCAATTGGTCGATTGCATCCGTAATGGATTCCTCCAACGTGTTCTTTTCATAGCTGCCCTTCATTTTACGTTCAGCATCTAATAAAATCATTCATGGTCAGTCCTACTATCAAAATGGAGTGGAAACGCACCCCTTAAATCTCTTTGTTTCAATCTGAGGACACTCTTCTTCTCACTCAGTACCGCCTCAGCCTGCTGGAAGGCACCCGTAGCAGTACTAGCATTGGATTCTACATCTTCTTGTTCACGCTTCTTCTGGCTGTAAATTTGAGTTAGCGCACGAAAACAGCCCTAAAGATTTAAAGTCGCAATTACTTTGCAACGTCCTCAATGTCCTTCGCAATCGAGTCAATCGCAGCTGATTTGCCTGTAAGTTTCTTGAATTTGATATCGGCAGCATCAAAACTGAAAGAAGTCAGACAAGAATAAATGTAAGAAAAGGAAAAACAGACGTCTCTTCAATATCAGTCTTCTTGGATTTCATTTCTTTACGCTTCAGGTTCAAGTTTGCACGAGACTCGGCTTCTCTGTTGAGCATCATAAACTCTTGGTTGAGTTTGTCGCGTTTGTTCTCGGCAACGGCCTTCTTATCTGCATTCTCTGAGAGTTTTTCGTCGTAGTTGGCGGTCTTGAAATCACTCTTCAGCTTCTCCAGGCGACGAGTCTTTTCTTCGATATCTCCCAGAATGATCTTGCGCTGACCGGGAAGCTCTTGCTTGTTTTCGAGATCACTTTCACCTTTCGTGATGGCGACTAGTGCGTTCCGCCTAAAGCAATGAATATGAGGAAAGCGGCAGGCTCAGGAAAGTAAAGGCATACGATTTTCTGACGAAGAGAGGTGCGATCAGCTTTGTATTTCTCTGCTGCCGCCGTGAGCTTTCGGGACTTTGCATTGTATTCCTCCTGTTGGACTTCCTTTCCATCTGGTAACAACGTGCCGTTTGACATTAGAACCAGGGAAAATGACCAGAGTTCATACCTGCAATGCCTCCAGTTCATTGTTCTGCTTTCGCTTCAAATCATCCAGCCGTGATATGAATTCCAAGACTGTGGGTCCATCCAGCGGCTCCTGACCAAAATTACCGATGCCAAACTTTGCTCCAATGTCCCTTATGAGCTGTTCGCGATCTTTTAATCGTTGTTGTTGGTGCTAAATTTGGATAAGAAACCCAGCAATACCAAGTGAAAGCCCGTGCGTACCTTGGCTTCCGTGTTCAATCCTGACACTTCGTCAACAAGCACCTCACGAGATTTTCGGCTGTTGCTCAACTCTTCTTCGCTGTCCTGTAGCTGAGCCTCTTCAGTCCTCCGTAGCTGCTTCTGTGCGCTGATATTCTCATCGAACCGCTCGACGCGCTGTCGCAGTTCGTCCTCCGAACCTGTAAACAATGTCAACGGCGAAAAAAAGGAAAGAATCTGGGTTGTAAATACGTACCTTTTATTTCAGGCACGTTTATGCGCGTATTTGCCAAGTCCTCCTTCAAGATTTTCTGTGTCTCCTCGAGGTTTTCGACCTTGATGTAAATCTCTCGGAACCGAGTCGCCTGTTGATGGTATTTGTTGTTCGCGTCGACGAACCTCGTCGTACTCCTTCTTCGTTTCTTCATAGCTATTTCCTTTGCATGAATAGTGTTACTGAGCTCGGAGATACGCGCGCGAAGTTTATCGGCGTGGGCTTTCTCCCTTGACAAACTCTCAAGCCGTTCCTTTTCAGCTTTCAGCTCGGCTACTCGGTCTTTGCGAAGGCCTCTGATGTTTTCGAGAGCCTTTGTGTATCTTTGAAAGCACATCGTAAGCTTTCAGCCAAAAAGTATTTGCGTCAAGCTCACCTCGTTGCCTCGAATATATCATCGAATTTCTTTTTGAGCGCAGAAGGCTCAGCAAGCGGCCAATACGAGTCTTCCTTGGTGACAGAAAATGACGTTTTCCAGAACGGCTTTCGAGACACCTAGTAACTGAGGAATCTCATTGTCCATTTCAGCGCACTTGGTCGAAATCACAGCTCTCTGCGTGTATGTTTAGATTGGACCATTAGATAGCAAACGATAAAACATACCTTGTTACTCTTCTCTCCGTTATCATCCTCGACAGCCAAAATACTCTCAAGCGTCTTCATGGTCAACCCTGCAGTCTTTTTCGCCGTCACACTCAGATTCCTCACAGCAAGCATCCTCGATCCATTCGCGGCGAAGAACCGAAGTTTGACCTGAGCCTTGACCTCCTTCTCGTTGGCCATCTTTGGGTCGTGAACGAATGCACCACCGCGAGTATTAGGAGGCTGGTCTCCAGTCGTAGCGTACTTTAAACATTCGATGATAGTCGTTTTGCCACTGCCATTATGGCCAACGATCACAGTAACAGGAGAAAAGAATTCGATGACAGAGATTTGTTTATCGTCGAAAGACCGTATGCCACGGATTGCTAGCTTGCTTAATGAAGCCATGAAGAACGATGCAAAGATGATGAAGCCTGTGACTTTCGCGTTGCGTGAGTGTAACGTGAGTATGAGTCAGAGACGAGCGCCACGAGCGCTAAACTTGGTCGCGTTATTGATGAGAAGAGGCTACGATATTTCGTGAACGATGCATAAGCTCAAGAGATATTCATCGTCGAACAAGAGCCCTTGCTTTCTCCCATACAAAAAAAACCAACTAGAATCACCTCAAGTACTCCCTGGCTGGGAGTCGAACCCAGCTTTCGCGCGTACAGTCCCATCCCCTTGATCATGACAAGCGCGTGTACTAACCGATATACTACCAGGGACTGAATCGTGTGACGTGATTCTGTAAATATCACTCTCCCCTGTTGACCGTTCCCAGTTGTGTAAGTTGAATCACATCTATTTGCTCAGCTCATGCAAGCCAATGAAATCTTAATAAATATGTAGATTGAGTACTAGCAGTCCTGATTCATGGTTCGAAAGTTGAGAGTAGTTCGCTTTCTAGGAAACCTGGAGACCTTGACAGGCTCATCATTCTACAGCTCAAGCCGTTTAGCCAAGTTACACACAAAGGAAAGAAAAGTAGCAACAAACCGGCCAGCTCCCATTCACACTGCTCTGTACTTCGATGCCCTTCTTCACACATATGTCACTAAACAGTTCATATTGTGGATCATCCTTCAACTTGTGGTCAAAGGTCAACAGCTTTAGGTTCGATAATGTTGTGACCAAAACCATCACATCTGCTATATCCATGCCGGGATCGGAATGACGATGAACAAGACTGAAATGCTCCAACGTCGGAGGAAGCTTTTCAACGGCGAGTGTAGGAATAGTAGGGAGTCCTAGAATCACCAGTTCCTGGAGGTTACGACAAGCCTCCAAAAGCTTTGCAGTATTCATGTTATATCGCATAGCCCGAAAGGACTGTAGCTGACGTCCATACTGTACCAAGAGGTTACACACTCCTGCGCTGGGCAGATCACGTAACTCAAGGATACGCAGCGAGTTGTGGGAGGCAGACAAAAGCCATGTGGTGATTTCTGTCGACAGTGTCCTGGACATTGACAGCTCGTACAAGTGAAAATTTGCAGGAGTTGAAGGTGGAGGAACCACGATTTCCACTTGGACTTTGAGAAACTCGACAGTAGGGAAGAAATCGAGTAGTTCATATAATATATGAGATTGAACGCTGCATTCAACAATTCGTAGAGCTTTAAGATGAGTCGGATATAGGACAGGTGATGAATTCTTCAGGTTGGCAAGGGTTGCTTTAAGGGAGATAATCCTAGAGACGGAAACACCGAGCTCATAGAGATTCGGGACATGTTCCATGAATATCATGAATTCCGTCGAGGTAATGCCTGGATGTTCCAATGGGAGGTGATGGTTATAAGCCATCGAAACATCCAAAATTCTGATATGTTTCATGAGCGCCTCCAAATGTTCAGAAGAGCCTGCTGTGAAACATTTTATGAGACGATGGGCAGCGTTTCCCGTGATATGATTGAAGAGTAGGCTTTGCGCCGGCGTTCTCCATCGTCTCTCGATTAACGAGCATGCAGAAAGGGTTCTGTAATCTGGATCCCTTGTAGTTATAAGTCGATCATCCGAAGTCGTTAGATAATATACGTGCTCCAGGATGGAGAATATGATCTCAGCGGGAAGGGACATCCTGGAAGAGACGAGAGAGACAGATAAGACGAGTTTCTATTATGAGGCTGTCGGGCGAATAAAAGGAATGATAAGCACGAAGAAGAAAATAGCAGGATGAAAGAAGGCTGGAACTTGGTACTCGCCAAACAGGAAATAAAGTCGGAGCGAGATGTATGGGCACTGTACGAGCTGGTGTGAGCGGAACAAGAAGCGAGATTATAGTCTAGCAAGATGGAAGCTGCGAAAGCGTTGGGGATAAGCGCTGGGTCGGGAGATCATAAGCGCTTACGAAAAATTACCGCTTTCTCTTCAAACTATGCTCAACGTCTTGCGACGTTCCTGCGGCCGTCACCCGCCTTCACTATCTCGCAGTTACGCTGAATTGGTTCCCGTAAATTCAACGCGAACCTCTGCACCACCTCCTCTCAAAGGTTCCATTGATCCTCCTACGCCAAACGCTATTGCTGGACCCAATGACAGTGCTTCAAGTGCTGAATCTCAACTTGTGAGCCCAGCACGACTAGGAAATCGTATCCCTGTTCGAGAGGATCATGGGCTATATGCTTTTTTCCGGAAAAAGCAACCTGCTCAAGGTCAGACGTTGGAAGGCGAAGCCCAGTATGAAACATTGGGAGGAAGTCGGCTAGTGGAAAGGTTTCAATCTGGTCCGTATCTTATGATTCCTGCTTCTTCTTCTAAGTACTTATACCGGTTATAGGGCGGTCATGGAAAGCGTCAGAATTGCGGTTAAAGAGCTTCGAGGATCTGCACACCTTGTGGTATATTCTACTGCGAGAACGGAATCTACTCGCCACGCAGCAAGAAGAGGTCCGTAGACTTGGGCGCCATGCGTCCTATACTCAATTTTAACACGCGAATTGCCATGGTAAGAGCTCAGATTATTGCTCGAGATTCTTCCCGTTCAACTTGAAATTAGTGCCGCAAATCCATGGCTCGCATAAAATATGTGATGAACGAACGACGACTCGCATACGAGGGTGCTGTGAAGCTTGCAGAAGAAGAAAAGAAGTCTCATATCACGGACCTGGTGTTGAAGCAGCAGCTTGCAGAACACCAACAGGAACGTGAACAGTTGGTTAAACGACAGGGAGAGGCGCGGCTCAAGGCTGCAGAAGCGAAGGAGGTTGCAGAAGCTGTTTTAGAAGACAAGGTTGGAGACGATCTCGAGAGTGCGGATATAGCCGAAGAGGTCACAACTGCTGGGGAAGAGGTCGAGCAGGTTGCTGAATCGGACATTGGAAACGATGTCAAGGAGGTTGAAACAAAGGCAGAGGCTCCAAAACCTAGCTACTCAACAGGCCGAAATCAAAGCAAAAGCTGAGGAAACGCCCTCAACACCAAACGTTGCTCCTCGCAAATCAAACCAGGAAAGCGCGTCTGAAGCGGCGACTGCAGGGTTGTTCGGAAGGACACGGGGGAGACGTAGGTAGTATATTAGTTCCTCGTATTAATTTGCATTCGATTTTCTACGGATGTGAGCTGGAATCTGAGTTGTTCTTTTGCCAAATTCGCATATCCTCCGATACCCAACAATCTTTCACTGAAGGATGCTCATACATCTCCAACTGCCTCTTCCCTTTCCTAATAAGATGCTCAATAGCGCTCACATCCCTCGGAGACACGCTAGACGCGTTCGTTCGGAACGTGTATCGAATAAAGAGGGAGAACTTTTCCTGAGTTGAAGGTGGTTTCGTATTTGACCATACGCAAAGCGCTGTAAAGACTGATGAATGTTGAATTAAATTTCAGTGGATAAGAGAGTCGAACCGTCTATACAGACTCAGGACATCCTTCTGTAGTCCTGACCTGCGCAAAGCTGACATGGATGTTGCGAAAAGAAGTGCCGGCTTCTCGGACTTATCGGTAGTACCGGTAAGCCGGGAGCCCGTACACGATTCGGATTCCCTCAGTCTTTACAACTCTTCCATCATCTTGCGGCAAATCGAGGGCTTCACTGCAAAAAATTCGAAGAAAGACCTGTCATGGATTGTTTTTCTCACTGAGACTCTGTCACTGTCGCGGGATCATAGAATTTCGCTATGCCGTCGCTCAATTGCGCCATTCAGTGGCACTTGAGTTGTTTCAATCGCAATGAGTATAAATGCGGGCTATTCAAACCCCTCTTCAATAACCTTCTCTCAACGTTCTACGAGATAATCCAAGATCCAATGCCGGATATATTCCATGAGAAAGAGGATGGAAGAGCGGCGGAATTTGTCGCCTGCTGATGATACAGCTAGCTTTGACACCTCCGAGTCTGTTCAGGATCGTTACCTAGTTCGCAAGATCGATTTACGGTAAATCCTTTATCGAATGACATTGTTTGGAAGGTTCATATGCTCTTTATAGGCTGCTACCTATCCTCACACTGCTGTATCTTTTGAGCTTCCTCGACCGGTCAGACTTTCCACTGGGGTTGAATCAAACACTGGAACTGATCATTGACGCTTTTAGCACGAACATAGGGAATGCAAAGTATGTCAACTATGAAAAAGTGCTTTGCTCTATTAAGACAGTTCCCGCATGTAGGATCTTAGGTTTAGCAACTGTAAGGCTCTTGCGGACTTCAAGTCCAATCGGATGTACTGATTCACCACCACAGGTTCTGAAACTATCCGCTCCGGCATACAATACGTCTCTCGCTTTATACTTTGTCGCATATGTGATATTCGAAGTACCAGCGAACGTAAGTCTTCTCTATTCTCGGAAAGATAGACCGTACTAATACTGACTCTCCTGGTTTTCAGATTGTGTGGGTTTACTTTCGCACAATCGCAAACTTTCATGACCTAATATGGACTCTTAGGCTAAAACGATTTGATCCTCAGGTCTGGCTCCCAACTTTGACTCTTGTTTGGGGAATTGTCAGTCTCTGTCAAGGGCTTGTCAAAAATCAAGCTGGGCTTTTGGGTGTCCGATTTTGTACGTGGTGTAGTCAGCTTTCCTCTGATGTGACCTCAGCTCAACCGTATATACAGTGCTCGGGGCGACGGAAGCAGGCCTGTTCCCAGGTGTTGTATACGTTTTCTCAGTGTACTACTTGAGGTAGGCGTCCAACTACTATGACCGGTCTACGCTAATGCCTTCTCCTAGGCGTGAACGGAGAGCACGTGTAGCAATCTTTTTCGGTGGTGCCGCACTTGCAGGGGCATTTGGAGGTCTGTCAGAACTTACCAATGCGATAACTTATTTATGCGTCTTGCTCCAGGAATTCTAGCCTTTGCGATTGGAAAAATGAACGGAATAGGCGGCCGTCAAGGATGGCAGTGGATCTTCATCTTAGAAGGCCTTTTAACCATCCTCGTATCCCTATTTGCGTACTTTGTCGTCCCTACGTGGTCTTACAAGGCGAAATTTGTAAGCTTAAAGTTTCGCCTCTGAGTCGGAAGCGACACTAAACTCTTGCGTAGTTAACAGAACCTGAGCGAGAGCGTCTTTTGGCTCGTTTAGACAAGGACTCCGACCCAGCGCACAAGGAGTCGTTCCAATGGGTGTATGTCAAGCAAGCGTTCACTGATCACATTGTCTGGTGTTATGCTCTGCTATTCCACGGCTACGCATTCGTTTTGTATTCTCTTAGTCTTTTCCTGGTTAGCAATGCTCTCTCTATCGAAGTATACCGCTCCTCAGTAGAACTTGTAGCCCA